CCCCAAAACCCCAAAACCCCAAAACCCCTTTATATTACTAAAAACAGAAACTAATTTTTATATTTTATACATAAACATGGAAAAGAGCATGTCAAGGATGAAGTCAAGGCCCAATACAACACTTCAAGACTTCGAACTCCTCCATAAACTTGGAGATGGAAGCTACAGCAGCGTTTACAAAGCAAAGCGAATCGCTGACCAACAAATCTATTGCATCAAGAAGGTCAAGCTATTCGGGCTCTCTGAAAAAGAAAAACAAAATGCTCTAAATGAAGTCAGAATTCTGGCCAAAATCAACCATCCTAACGTGATTCGATATAAAGAGGCCTTCCTCGATCAGGAAGGGTCTGCCTTGTGCCTCGTCCTCGAATATGCTGATGACAAAGACCTTTACCAGAAAATCAAAACTAAAAAGATCAGTGACCAACCATACTCAGAAGATGATATCTGGTACATCTTCCTACAGCTCTTGAAGGGGCTGAAAGCACTCCATGATCTGAGGATCATGCACCGAGACCTTAAAAGCGCAAATGTCTTTTTGAACAAAGACCTCACTGTCAAATTAGGTGATATGAATGTCTCAAGACTTGCTGATACGAATGGTCTTAATTATACCCAAACAGGAACTCCTTATTATGCCTCTCCTGAAGTCTGGAAAGACAAGCCCTACGACTTCAAAAATGATATCTGGTCCCTAGGGTGCGTCCTGTATGAAGTCACTTGCCTAAAGCCTCCTTTCAAGGCTCCTGACATGGAACAGTTATATGAAAAAGTTATGAAAGGACAATACCCAAGAATCCCAAAACAATATTCCCAAGATCTAGCGATTGTTATAAAAAGCATGCTCCAAGTCAAGCCAAAGTACAGACCCACTATAGATGAACTACTTTCTCATGATATCATAAAATCCCGAATGAACGAACTCAACCTCGAAGATCCTGTAAGTGAGGATTCTGTAGAGCAATTCGCACTTGAAGATCTCAATAATAATTACACTCATGACCTCCCTCTCCCAAATTATGGCCCTAGCTGTATTGATAGGGACATCTTGTGCACCTCTGAACAAGTAATTAAAGAGCCCTTGAACCAGAAAAATGTGACTATAGATGATTATGACATGGCAATTATCAACAACTCTAAACCTCTATTCCTCCACAAGAGTATTGAAGAGTCTACAAATGCTAATTCCATCAATATGCTAAGCGGGAAAAAGTCTATTCCCGGATCAATAGCCTCAAGAAAGCTGCTTTCTTCCCTCAAAAAGCATATTAAAAAGACTAACCGTTATAAATCCAGTGCTAGAGTGGACAACAGCATGCCTTATCATTTCAAAGACACTTATAAAGACCTTCTACTGTTACAAAAGTCATCTAAGGACAGTCTCAGAAGCATTAGCCAACGAAAGTCCATTATAAACAACAAGTTCAGGCTGAAATACAAGTCTAAATAAATCAGAAGACCCTTCCAAAGATTATGTCCTCAGTTCGATCGAGCACAGAATGAAGAAAAATAAAGATTCCCTCCGCAGAGAACCTAAGGAGCTGACCAAGGTGAACTGAAGCAGCCAGAAAAAGCTGGAGAATCGGAATTCGACTGATATCCTCAAAATCCCTCACAAAAGTCCGAATCAGGTAAGATAGACTAGAAATTTCGGTTAGTTCTTTGCATTTGGCATCCTCAGCCATATACAGACTGACCACTCATATAGAGCGATCACAGAATGAGCTTCATTGGCAAAAGCCTCAAAATTAACCCTAAAGGAGACAAGGAGATATCTCCTAAAGTAATGCAGAAGATCTTCAACAAGATCGACAATCATCTTGACAAATACTCTGTGAATAAGTCTAGTAGCAGGAATATCTTATCCAAGAAAACCAAAGATAGATCCCTCATACTTCCAAGTCTCAGTAAGAGACCTTCCAACTATCAATCAATCCAGAGCAGTGACGTGAAACACACCAGGATGAAGGAGAAGTCATTGAACTACATCAGAAGGTTGCCTACCAACAGGAAGACAAAGAAGCTAAGCGCTGTGCCTATAAAGGGAACCCCAATTTCCAAAAGAAATCTCAAAGTAAAAAAATACCAGCTTGACATTAGCAACTCAAGCAGGGTTTATGAACCCTCTGCCCAAGTAGACGATCATAGAGAATTAAAGAATAAGAGCTCTTCCTTAATAGGAAGCAACAAGAATATTCTCCATGATCGCTTCAGGAAGCTCTTGAGAGACAGCAAGAAACAACCTGTAGGGCTACACTGAGTATAATCCCTTCAATATTTTTATCTTCAAAAGGGGTTTTGGGGTTTTGGGGTTTTGGGGTTTTGGGG